TTGGATGACTACAGTATACACTGTAGAGCAATACTAGCAATACTCAACCCAGGGGACCGCACCAAGTATATTATCGTCCTTTTGGTATATATGAGCAACTAAGATCGATTCAATGTTGTTGTTTTGTCTTGCAGCATCAACATCATATTATACAGATGGCCTTAAGAGCTTCCGATTGCAACCAGGTCTTTTGCAAAATGAATCCAGGTCTGCCTGCTCCCCGCAGAACCCATGGGCTGAGAGGTGATATTTAGGAGATAGCCATGGGACGGTGGCGTGATATCTCCTCATCTGAAGATGACGGAACACTGATGGAGGAGCCCAGTCTGTTTGTGGGATTTTTCGTCCATTGCATGTGGCAGCCACTTCGAATCAGGAGTTGTCAGTGGAGCAATCTTCATTCATCCACTGTGGTGCCCAGTTTGCTGAGGGAGCAGGCCGGCCTTTAAACTCCAAAGGGAAAAGGTACCCTGATGTTTTTTGGCATTGAGGACTGGATTGGTTCCTGCGTCAGTGGTCCAAAGAGAAGTCCTTTGGGTACTGCAGTGATTGTGTCTTGTCTGATTCCGGAGCTGTGGCAAATAATATCATGTGGGTTGTTGGATGCCTAAGGCAGTGGTATTGAAACCCCGCTTTTGGCCCTCAAAATGCTGTTTGGAGACAAGTCCAACTTGGTCTCCTACGTGCTACTTGGCTGCTCATGATGATATTGCACTACCGTCCTGAAATTCCAGCTATATATCTGAGGTCAAACTCGGAAATAGATCCCGTGGCCAGAAAGTTTCTCAAGTTCAACATGCCAAAACCAAAACAGAGTCTGGGCGTATCTTAGATATAGAACATTATAGAACTATAGAACTGCTTGTAAACCAAACAAAACCAACCTGCAAACCTAAGTACTAAGGGAATGCAACAATATCCTGACGAAGAACATGACAGGTTTTCAGGGAAAGGCCACTGTTGCTGTGAACATCTTTCTAGGGTTGCTGTCATGATCCGACCCTGTGAGGTGGCAATGTATGTGGCGGGGTTTCCCTGCACCCCATACAGTATGCTGGGGAGACGTCAATGCCTGTCCGACAAAAACGCTCAGCAGTTTTACAAAGTCGTCGAGAACATCAAGAAGACACAGCCCTGTGCAGCTTGCTAGCATTTTCCATTGTTCAAGTGCGTAGATGCCGTCAGTCACACCGGTGTCCATTCAAACTAGGCGGGATTGCTCGAGAACGTGATTGGCCTGAAGGCTGTGTTGCATGAAGTACTTCAAACACTGCGAGATGCTTTGCCAGGGATCCTTAATTGCAAAGCAACCTGCAAATAATTGTGGTCTGCCTTGACTCATGCTGTTTGCTCCCCAAGGTATAGCATCACGTGGGTGGAGTGTGATCCGCACCTGGGTGGAGTGATCAAAGTTTGCAGAAGTGTGTGAACCCGAACTTCCAATACAAAACATTGGGGATGAAATTTGCAAAAACCTAGGAAAGACTATGGCAGTCCCATTTCCCGCAACAGAATCTACATCATCTTTGTGAAAGAGTCCATCGCTTTGAAGAGAGCAATTGATGATTTTGACACGTTTGCCCGGACTATTTGTGAAAGCCTTCACTCTGATCCGGATGTGACTTGGTATCTTGGTCAAAGACCAGTCAGTCGTATTGCAAAACAACCACATTCTCAATCCCGTGACTTTCACGGCTCAGGGAAGATCTACTTTTGCATCGAGACCATTGGGCAGTCAACAAGACTATGAACAACCGATCTATTCGACACAAGGCCATGAAGAAGTTACTCGGTTGCATTGCCCATCTATAATCATCTCAATCAAATGTCCTAAGCCGTGTCCATCCAAGGCCAGGGCCTGGTGCCAAATGGCCGAAGCTCCACAAGAAATACGCTAAAAAATTCCAGGCTGTGAAGCTCTGATTGTATTGAAACTCTTTGAATATCTTTGAATCATCCTGGGTGCCGCGTTCAAACTAACCAGCCCTCAGCATCAGGTGAAAAAAAACGCTGGCTTGTTCAAGAAGGCACATCCTGGAGCGGCGCAACAGATCACTTCTCGAAGGGAAATGGAGGCAGGTTGAGGAGGTCATCCCCTTTCAAAACAATTGTTGGCTACCTTTGAGGCCCTTGATCTACTTGCTGCCCACCGCCCTGGCTTTGTTGCTGTCAACACATCCCAAAGCTTGGGAAGGATGAATCCAATCTACCCTGGCAGCCCATTGATGTGCCTAACGTCTCAAACTTAAGTTGTCCAGCCTGAATTCGTTCATTGCCTAGTAGATGACCATATATTGTTCTTAGGCCTGGAGGGGCCTATTTGCTACTATGCAAATCCCAGGGCCGCTATTTGACAGGAAGCTTTGTTGAATTAAGTCGAGTCCAAGTACAGTCGATTCAATGGCCCGTACAGTTTTGACACTGAGCCCTAGGAATTGAAATGCTCATTCTGATGGGAATCCCCGTCGACACTATTCGCTGGGAGGACTTTAGCAACCGCGTGCCTAGTCAGTGAGAACACAATATATGGAGTTGTTTCGTTTCCAACTGCATGTGTATCCCAGGCCCTCACTCGATTGGCGGGTAATGGGATGGCAATGCGAGCAGTGATGGTGGCACTTTGTATCGCTCTGAGGGCGATGCATCCTGTGAAGGCACAGCTGTATTTGAAGTGAAGGAAGGTGCGGTCCGGTGAAGAAAACAGTGTCGTGATACAATTACACTGACTGTGTTTTGTGTGTCACTACCATCCACACGCATTTATATCTTTTGTTGACTCAGCAGTGTTTGGTGTTTGGATGGCCCCCATGACAGGATTAAAAGCAATTTAGACTTAATAAGTAGTACAGCTTCTTCGCGTTTGCAATGTAGTCACCCTATGATTCTATCTTTTCAGCAACTCAATTTCTCTGCTTGGTGTAAGCAATGGTGGTCCTCGGCCGCTATGAAGACGAAGATGGCAACACACAGCCTGCGTCACCGATCGGCCGATATGATGAAACATCGTCAGATGAATCTGGATCCGAAATGCCACTAAATTGCAATAGACCCACCCTGACATATTAGTCTGTTTGATGAGTGACATTCTAGTTGCAACTGAGGAGTGATGATGATGCTTCTGATGATGCTGATTCCTATTCCGACGATGAATCGCACCATGATGATAGACAATCGATTGTCAATTTGAACCTGGGCCATCTACAAAGCCTACATCAATTAGGTGAGGAACCAAAGAACTCTACCTTTGCGCAAAATGGTAGGAGCAGCAAAAGGCTCCGGGCATTGGCTACAAATCCTCCATGTGAGTGTGGATGCTATGTCCCACCAGAAACATTGAGGAAGGTGTGCCGGGCTTTCTGGGGTCTCAACAAAGAGAACCAGGACGCAATCCTTTGGTCTGTCCAGTCCAACTGCAAGCCAGGTAGCTCTTGGCAAATCGAAGGACAGGGGTAAGGGCAAGGGATAAGAGTTTGAAGAACGTTTGAAGTTTGGTTTATATTGAATTTCTTTGTTTGAGTTGCAGGCCATCATGTTTGCCGATCTGCCTGGGTGAAATACTTTGGCATAGGCAAAGAACGACTTCTGAGAACAAAACGGAGGTTTAGAGGCTTGGACGACAGACGCCTGAATCAGGGCTCCTTGGCAGCAAATTCAAATTCAATCACAACAATATACTGTTTGATTTTCCCCGTGCCACTACTGTAGGTGCTACTGCTCATCACGCACTCCAGACTGCCAGTTGCACTAGTTTCTTCACCCACTTGTACTACACCGCTGGAGAATCGATGCCAACCCGGTTGCTTTGCTAGCATTTCAGGCAGATGTCTTGCGGAGCCATGTTGTGATTGAATGACATATAGGTTCCAAAGCTCCGATACAGCTGCCGCTTGCAAGACCAACGAGGAACTTAGAGAGGAGCTTGTGACCAAGTTGATTGACAGAAAGCTGTTTGGGCCATCTCAGCAAATCCTGGACCTCGACCCGGGATCTCTTCCATTGAGAGAGTTGCCACCAGGTACAGTGGCAAGCTTGTATCTGATGTATATGGCATGGTTGAGGGCTGATGATGAGAGCAAGCCACCTGCATCGAAGAGTACATTCTACATGACTGCAAAGGCATGGTCAAAATGCCTTGTTTTCAGGGCCAAATCGCAACACACCATCTGTGCAACATGCACATCGCTGAAGAGCGCGATACATGAATGTACTGAACTGCCCTTAGCTTTTGACCAGCAAAAGTTTTAGAATACAAAACAGTCATTGAGCCAATTCTCAGGACTTTCGCAAGCACGCTGAACTTTGCCAAAGCCTTCTTTCACATTATCATTCCACTTTCATGGACCGTCGTGTGTACTGGACGGCCCGGGAGAGAGCCGCCAATCAGGGTGACCTTTTGACTGTCATTGTCGATGGCTTTGACAAAACAAAGGTTCAACTACCACAGTGGCCTTTGAAGCGCTGTCCAAAACGAGCCGTATTTGAAAAGTTCCTTCGAAGCTTGGCTGCCTGTCTTTGAACTTTGAAGTTTTGGAGCTTAGACGCACTTGTTTCAAATGATGTGATCCAAGGAGGGAGCTTACACCTTACAGGAGTTATATGCCATGGATGGGGGTGCTTCCTGTACTTGTCCACCCACGAGGGAATGCCTAGCGGTTCAAGTTGGGTTTGGGAGTGCGTGCCTTGACTGGTTCAGTGCTTGATTGGTTCATTGTCATGTATCTCTCTGTGCACTGCATCCAACCTGAGGTGATGAGAAGCATTGAGAAGGTTTGGGTTGAGACAAGGCGCAAGCACCGACCGTTTCCACGGGAGCTTTTTGGCTTGATGTTGAAAGCGTGTTCTTTAATTTGATGTGTGTTTTGTCTTGTGTGGCTTGTGCCTTTCTGAGGCTTTTCTTGCAATCGGACAATACAGTCCGCGAAGTGCGGAATCAATTCGGGCAAAGAATTTTATCATCACTGGTCCAATCCAATGTCTTCCGCGTATGCGGAGAGCACCACATGTTGCCAGGACACACACATGAAGACATTGATGGTGTGTTGCTCTGCTGAATCCATTGCGATTTGCTGCGGCGTCTTGATGCGACATTGGTGGTAGGGATTGCTGAACCAGGTTTAGCTTGGTCGCCACAAGCCTAGCTTCAGCGGCTGACATCCAAACACCAGCAGACATCCGGCGTCGCGTCCTGCACTCGTTGAGCCCGCTGTTTGCAAAACGTGGCTGGAACTTCACTGTGGAAATGGTGGATACGGTTGCTTGGCATTCCAATTGACATGTTGATCGTCGCACGTTTTTTTGTTGTGAAATCGCTGATCGCCGAGGTACGTGATTGGGCAGCGATGGCACCAAGCACGGTTACCTTCAAGAATTGCTTTAAGATCAGGCAGCAGCAGGATGAGTCAGATACAGTTCCAGTGCCGCATTCTTTCAATTTCATGGCCCGACAGGACATGCCCGGCCAAGGCCACATGGTTGCAAAGGTAGAACGTGTACCTCGAGCTTTGAAGAGCCCTGCAGATTCTGCCCGCGATGTGTTTGTAATGGTGAAATCACGGATGTCGTCTGATACATTGTGCCAAGATCCTTTGCTCTGTTGGCCAGGGTCATTACAAAGTGAGTCGCAACGCTTTCTCAATACCGCGAATTCAGCAACATGCCCAAAACGGACTTGGCAAATTGAGAGTGATCGATGCAAGGAGCTTGACTTGCTGCGCAGGGCAATCATCCGCGACTTTCCTCATATGCATAGGACAGGATCGTGGTATGAGTCAATGCTGGATGGTGGCCCTGAGAATGTCGGCACTGTCCCGGACTTGTCGTTCTTGAAGAATGCGCCAACTGTTCCTGCAGATGTGCATGACATCCAGCTAGGAGAGCCAGCGCCAGAGCCACGCCCACATTGCCTCCAAGTTGTGTTTCACCGTCGCTAGGGCCGCTAGGGGATGGGTCAACCATCATGCAGGATGGTTGCTGGGGATTGCTGGGATTCAAAATGGTTGTTTTCAAGTCTTTTCAATGAGGCTTGTCAGATTGTCAACTGTGCTTTTTGTTGTCAGCAGTGTCTGAACGCTCATTAAGTTGTGATCAGACATTTTCCAATCAAAGCAGGGTTAGAGACATGGCAATGCAGTGCCAACCTGTCAAGACTGAAGACCCCCAGAGTGCCAGTGAGCCTCCTGATGGCTATTCAAAGGCGGTTGGAAGTTTATGTGCCTATTTTGACACTGTGACTTGACTGTGTTGTGGAGCTGATTCAAAAGAACTAGCTGTCATTCTTGGAAGCACCTTAGGTGATTGGCACGGGAAACTTGGGAGATCACCTGATGAAAGTTTGGCCGCTTGAGCAGGGGCAATTGGTGGCTGTAGCAGCCTCAAAAACATACCAAATGGCACAATGTGCAGATTTTGTGTGTGGTTGCTTCGCAAACTGAGGCTGTCAAAGATCTTGTGATGACAGGTACTCCAGCCAAACGCCTTACCACGCTGGTTCCCAATTCGTCCACAGATGAGTTCTACCTGCCGCTGTACTGCTTTGACTACTCCCCTACTGGGAAGAACGGATGCGGGGTGTTTTGAAATTGCAGTGTGTTCAAATAATGTTTATCAATTTGTTTGACTTGCAAGCCTGTTTTTCTGAAAAAACAATCAATGAACATCCTTGCAGACTATCCATCGAACACGCAGTTCCAAGCCCACTTCCGGGAGTTTTTATTCAACGGATACAAATCCCATTTTGAGTCAGTGATCACCAAGTTCCCATATGGTGAAGAGCGCGATGGGACACGCATCATCACCGATGCCAGCGTTGGTCTTTGCGACGGCCAGACAAAAATCCTCCTGATGTATGCCATTGTGTCGTTTGCCAAAGAAATCTTAAGCCCCGAAGAAATCCAGGCTGATGAGACTATCCGAAACACATTAGAGAGCTTCCGCTGCATCCGTTGCAGCTACCAACACCTCCCGAATCCAAAGGATTTCTTTTTGCAAAGCCTCAGAAGCTTGCATGCATGGTCAAACAGATGTCAAACACATTTGTTGCTTTGTTGTTTTCTGTGGCAAGCACTCAGCTTGAGCAGCTAAGAACTGGGGTACGTGACGGCAGAAAAGACGGCTCCATCGCCTATCGGCATAGTCGCCGACATTTCAGAGGCCATCAAGATACATCGGCGCATGTCATCAACAAAGATCCCTCTGAAAGACGCCATGACAAAAGTCATCGCGGACTACAACCGCCTCACATCGGTGCGGCGGCACCGAGTGGACAGCGCCAGGCGCTCGCTCATATTTAACCTGCAGCTCGTTTGAATAAATCTCCGAACCTGTCAGGGCAACATGACAGGCTCTCTCTCTCTCTCTCTCGATCTTTGAACTCAGGCTTCGGTGCCCGTTGGAGGTGCTCACTTTGATCCATCGGCACTACGATGAGTTCCAACATCAATGCTCAGGCACAAGACATTGGTTCAATCACGTACTTGAATGTTATAATATTTTGAATTGCAGGCTTGCCACAGGAGACATTGCAAGTCGACTTCTATGTGCCACAAAGCACAAGCAGAAAAGAAGATGCAAAGTATCGGGGGAAGAGTGTGTTTGAAGAGATTCTGTCTCCAACGGCGGAGACCGCCCTTTGCTATGTGCAGCGTGCTACCAAGGACCAACCTACCGTGAACTTTTCATGTTCTACTACTTTCCTACCAGCTGTTGATTCCTGGTGAGGACTTCAGCAGACGTGCGTCAAAAGAGTTCTCGCAGAAGGCGAAGGCAAAGGTTTTCCAGTTCATCCAGTTTTGTCAAGTTAAGCCAATCCGCTTGCCTGCCTTGCCCCTTCCCTTGCAGAAGTCGCAGCAGCTGGACGAAGAGGGGCAAATTCTTCTTCATGACACAGCTTGTCTTTGGATTTGGCTCTCCAGCAAGCTGAAGGGAATGTTTTCGTCCGAGACCATGGACAAGTTCCAGAAGCTCTTCGATGAGGGGCGCCTTCCTTTTCCTGTTTAGTCATGTTGTATTTGTTTGGTCGCCACATCCAATTTGGCTACCAGTGATGGGTCGCCAAATGCCATTTGGCTACCAGTGATTGGTCGCCAAATGCCATTTGGCTACCAGTGATGGGTCGCCAAATGCCATTTGGCTACCAGTGATTGGTCGCCAAATGCCA